CTGAATGAGCCTGGTGAGATTCGATCTGCCAAATTGTAGGCAGCTGGCAGTCAGCAGAAGTAACTTGCAAGTACTGCACTCTAACCACTGCACCACCGTGGCTCATGCCATAGACATTGCAGAAAAGAGAGGACTTCAAGACGAGGTCTTTAGATTTCCTAGATTTCAAGACTAGATCCCTCTTAGAAACCAGGGTTTCTCAAATTGGGTGACTTTTAGCCATATGGACTACAACTTTGGTGTAAGATTGAGGCGCTGGCCTGGAAAGCAGGAGGCTGTGAGTTCTAGTCCTGCCTTAGGCATGGAAACTGTCTGGATCAGTTACTCACCCTCAGTCCACTGATTCGTTGCTTGCTTGTTATTTATTTGTTAAATGTATCTCAGTGTAAGTCTATTCTAGTGGAAAATAGAAAAAAAAATATTCTTGTTGGGAAAATAGGAGGAGAAAGGAGCATTAGGTATGCTTGCCAGCATGAGTTACCTACACTGGTTGGGGAATTCTGGGAGCTGAAGTCCACATGTCTTAAAAGTCCACATATCTTAGACCAGGATTGCTATTTTGTTTGGCTTCCCTGTATTCCAGAGCAGCATTTCCTGGCTTTTGAATTTACACCTTTGGCATCCCTCGTGCGCTGCTTCACCTTCCTGTCCTTCCCGATCCCCTCATCTCTATGGGGGCAACACGACGGGAACGGATCTGGCTCAGCCCCTCACACTCACAGGATGAGGAGGGTGGTGAGGAGCAGGCAGACCATGAGAAGGTTCCGCTGGCAGAGCAGAGAGCGGCGATAGGCCTTGATCCGTCCGGCACAGGGCCGGTTTCTCTGGAAGCAGCAAAGGCTCAGTCCGACCAGGGGCACCGTCACAAAATAGAGCACTGCGATTGCAGCGCAAACGACATATCCTGCCTGGTAGCGAAGGATCTGAGGAGCAAGGGAAGTGAAAATAATAACAATAATCTTGAGAGGATGATTTCTCCTACCCATCTCCCCATACCCTGTTAAATTAAAGAGAATTGGGAGGTTGATTGGTGGGCTAGAACCCAGGGGATTTTCCTCTGATTACTTCTTCCAAGGAACAGAAGCAACCCTGGCTAAAGGCAACCCCATGATCAGAAGATCCTTCTATCTAATTTAAATGTAATAACCACTTTGGCGTAGTAGTTAAGATACAAGACTAAAAACTGGGAGACTGTGAGTTCTAGTCTCCACTCTGGGCTTGAAAACCAGTTGGGTGTCTTTGGGGTGATCACCAGCGGACTGGGAGTTCTAGTCCGGTCTTAAGCCTGAAAGGCAGCTGGATGACTTTAGGTTAGTTCTTAGTTTCCACTCAACCCAGGGTTGTTGGTTGGGAAAAAGAGGAGGAGGAGGAGGTATTAGGTATCTTCACCATCTTGTATATAAAAATGTCTAAATGTAAACCTAAAAATCTAAACAATAAAATCATTCCGATTTCCTCAAAATCTTTTATCGTCCCTTACCCAGTGCACCCATTTAACTAATGCCAAATCTTTACTCATTATCCACCTTGTCATATATTTCCCATTCTTATATTTCCTATCATTCATAAACAAGTCATTCTCTATAAATAAAGAGGCAGCCAAACTGGGAAGATTCCCAGGTGGGCTGAGCATTTATCTTGCAGAATTTCCGAACATCTGTCCAGGAATTTTGGGAGCTGCAATCCAGCACTTGGAGAGATGAGGGGGGATTGTTGTAGATGCTGAGTTGTGACGGCCAACACAGACCCCTGAAGAAAGAGGGAGGGGCATTCCACTCTTCCAGGCTCACTCTTTCACCTGAGAAGGTGTAGCAGTCGGTGGCTCATTCAGGACATCCTTCAACAGCTCTGTGGAATAAAACAAGGCTATTTTAAAAGCAGAAAGAGAGACCCCTCTTCTCTTGTGATTGTACCTTCTGAATGGGCCAAGGGAAGGTTTGGGCTTTTCTCTCCAACCTCCTTGTGCAAGTTCTACTCCTAAGTAAGGCTGCATGAAGGAAATGAGGAGGAAGCAGGAACAGACGGAGTGGCAGGAGGCAATTATTGCCAAAGTTAATTACCTAAGATACTTATCAAAGCTAGACAGTCTGGGATGCCAGGAGCTCTCCTGATCACCAGATCCCCTTCTTTAAGGACTTCCAAGTGAGACCTAAACCATAGGTTGGTCTTCTTTATCTCAAGCATGTCTTTCTTCTGGGGGGGCAATGCTGTTTGCTTCATGGAGGGAGAACAAGGACGGCCTTCAGCTCATCCCAAGGTCAGTTCCCTTGGAGGGGTCTCCTTTGGCTGCAGGAACTCTAATAGCTCCCGGAGGGGGTCCCACGAGGGATGTGACAAACGCGAGTAACATGGCAGCACCCTTGGGAAGTTGGGCTGGGAGGTCAGCATTGCTTCCCAAAGAGCCCAGAAACCTGGACCTCTCAATGTGCCTGACTTGGCATCATTCCGGTGATTGGCAGACTTCCCAGTTTCCAAAGATTACCTGTGTCTACTTTGTGGCTTTTATGTGCTGTGTCAACCCTGGAGCTGACCTGACCGAAGCCATCTTGGAGCTTCCATGTGGCCACACTAGAGCTGGGGGGTCGAGACAGCTGGGACTTTGTAGCCAAAACAAAATACTTTCTCTTGGGAACCAAGGACATTCTCACGCCTGGTCAGAGGAAGGAGGATGTCACTAAGCAGGATTGGACCACGTGACTGATTGTTTTGAAAAAGGGAAAAAAATTTGTTTAATTAGGTGAAAACCGCAGGAACCTTCAGAGTCGGTTTTCACCAGATCTGTGCCGATATGATATAATCAATAAAGCTATTCTTGGAGGAATCTACCTGCCTTGGAGTTTTGCTTGCTATGGATCTATTACTTGGAACCTTGACATGCTGATTATTTGCATTTTAAAGTATCTTGTGCCGGGTTTTATTTTATCTGCCAAAGCCAGTTAAAAATCATCTGTTCAATGAATGCTTTGGATCTTATAGCATGGTGGTGCTCCCAAGCTATCCATATATATATATATATATATATATATATTGGTCCCTCAGCCCCATAATGCTGGGGATATTGAAAGAGAATGAAATATAGTAATTAATTAATTTGTTTTATGCGTGTAGGTGCAATATAATTTGGATATTAATATACAATTCAGGTACAACTTTTCTTTCCCGCAATTCTTAAAAAAGAAAATCAGATTGAACTATTTAACAACTTATGCTCTGTCCTCAGAACAAAATGTTGCAAAATGTTCAGGCACACAAGTGTAACATACTGTATTTCCCAAATTGTTTGGAAACAAAATATTATTTTTGAATATTCTGACATGTTTCATTAAGTAACATGTTTCTATCCTGCCAAGTCTATCATTAGAGGCTACTGACTTACATTCTGACAAAAAAAAATCATTAAATACTTGTAATATTAATTTGTAATATACACTTGAATGTAATTGCACACATCGCTCTGTCCTGTCTCAAAACTAAGAAAAGAAAGATGTTTCTTAAGCACTCGGAACTAGGATTGAAGGAAGCTTAACTACATTCAAATGAGTTAAAACCTTCCCACTTTCCATTAAAACCTTCCAAAAAATTCCCCTAATGAAGCCTACAGTATACTTGTATTTTGAGAGAGGAAGAATACAAATATCGCTTTGGAGGTTTGGAGGGAAATCTTGAAAACAACCCGGGCAGAGAATTCTCAGGTTGAATTCACACACAGCACCAAGCCTTAATGTGATGTGTAAGGTTTTAGCTCAGCACAACATATGAACCCAGATATATGTGGCTTATTTGCAAGTTAGCCAGACAATGCAAAATACAAGCCGGTCTGAGAAGGAATAGATCTATAATGGTCTTCTCTAAGGTACAGGAGGAATTGGCTATCAAACTGGAACTGCCCACAGAAATTGCTTCCCAAAGGTTTTGTAGATACATTCTTAGACTCATGGAAGGTCTTCTAGTCCAACCCTCCCCCTAAGACAGGAGACCCCTGTACTATTCCAGACACATGGCTACCCAATCCTCTTCTTGAAAACTTCAAATAGTGAAGTACCCATAATTTCTGGAAGCAAGCCCTTCCACGGATTAATTTCCTCTCATTATCAGGAAACTTCTCCTTGGTTCCAAGTTGGAGCTCTCTTAAATGAGCTTCTACCCACTGCTTCTTCTCCTTCCCTCTGTGCTTTGGAGAGTAAGCCAATCCCCTCCTTCTCTGTGGCAACCTCTCAGCTGCTCCAAGATTGCTATCAGGTCACCCCTAGTCCCTTCTTTTCGATAGTCTAGATCAGGGGTGTCCAACCTTGGCAACTTTAAGACTTGTGGACTTCAACTCCCAGAATTCCTCAGCCAGC